GAATTGTAGCACGTTCGATACCTGCGATGTTAAGCATCAATATTCTAATATGATTTATGCAAGTGGGCCTTTGTTAGTGAGAAATTATAGTATAAAGTTTGGATCGCGGAGTTAACGTACATAAGCCGAAAGTTGCGGCTCTTTTTCAGCGAGGCGGCGTGACTGAGCGAACTACGCGTCGGACGGCGGCGAACGTTTGAATTCCGTCGACGACTTGTCCGTGTGCGGTGTTTTTTTTATTCTTTCTTACCTTAGGACATGTAATTAATGATTTTCCAATATGCTACATTAGTTTTGAATATATCTTTTGTTTTTATGTTATTAATCAGGGATAATTAAGGAAGTGTTAGACTTGTTTAACGCAAACATTACACATATAATACACACATAATTTGCATTGTTTACAATCAAATATATTTTTAATACATTATTTTCTTATCGAAACATTGTATACAACATTGTCACATAATAAAAATTGCTTGTAAAATTTACACGTTATAAATTTCAAATATTTTGTCGCGGATGGAATGCTATATAAAATCAAGGGAAACATTACAAATGTTTGTACTAACTGCATGCATGTTTTTATACAACATTCCATCCGCAACACTGCGACAAAATAACAAATTTATAACGTGTGAGTTTTACAAGCAAGTATTTTATTATGTGACAATGTTGTATATAAAGTTTTAATAAGAAAATAATGTATAAAAAATATATTTCATTGTAAGCAATGTAAATTATGTGTGTATTATATATGTAATGTTTACGTTAAATAAGACTGACACTTCCTTAATTTTACCCCTGATTAATAGCATTAAAACGAAATATATATTCAAAACTAATGTATTATACTGGGAAAGCATTAATGTCCTCTGGTAAAAAAAAATTAAAAAAAAAACCGCACATGGACAAGTCGTCGACGGGATTCGAACGTTAACCGACGGCCTAAAAATATTCGGCGCGCGAGTCTTAGTTCGCTCAGCCACACCGCCTTGTTGAAGGAGAGTCGTAACTTTAGCCGTATGTATGCTACAGCTCCGCGACCCGAAATTTATACTATTATTTCTCACAAACAAAGATCCACTTGCACAAACTCCGTTAGGATGTTCATGCTCAACATTGCAGCTATCTAACGTGCTATGACTCGTTCGGAAATTTAACAAGTTGTGGCATCTCCTTGTAATAGGCAGAGAGCATAAGTACAGTGCGTTGCGCCGCACGGACTTGCATCTTAGATGTGGCAACGCTAGCTCGTATGTCTGAGCTTGTAATCGCGTCGCGCAGCTGCCGTGCAAGACATCCATTGCCATCCGGCGGCAGTCTCTGAACTACAAAATCTGCGTTATCGATACTTATTCATTCACACTTATTTATTCACGTTGACACTTGCTTATTGTCCCCATATGCAGGCGAAGCAGTAATTATAATTTTCTTATAATATTATTTAGTGCAACAACAAAGATGAATTATTTAGTCCAAATATTTCATACAATAAAAGAGAAGTTAGAGATATATGCATAAAATATTTGTGTAATTTTGTAAATTCCTGCAACTTGTATGCAACACTAGTCAGTATTTGTGATAACATTGCATTATTGCAAATTTATTATATTACAATGTTGCTATAATATTGCGTTGCAATATTCTAAAAAGGGGACATTTTAACGTTGCTGCAATTCCAAAACAACGTTGCAGTAACATTTCGCAATAAAATTGCAATATTTCAAAATAACATTACTGTAATGTTGCTGCAGCGTTGCTGTGCTATATGCGAATTCACTCGATGGCTTCTGATGAGTAACTGGCGAATTTATAGAAAGAAGGCAGAAATGTAAACAAACAAAGTTTTCACCGAATCACCAATATTAAAACGAATATTATTGTTTTTGTGTACGCGCACGCGCGCGATTTTAATGACGATAATACTTTAGAGGTAGAGTACAAGAGGTAGAGTATGGAGAACAAAGCAACTACGTTTGTTTTTTTGCCATTTTCTCCAAAACGAAACAAAAACGAACATATCTCTAAAGAACTATTTTCTTAATTTATCGATCCCCTATACTCTCCCAAAGTTCTGACATTTAAATTCGGGACACCCTGTTATGCATGAAAAATTTTTCATCGGAATATTACTGTAGATAGAGGAATATAATAAATTGTAGAAAAACATCACATAGATAATTGGATATACAGGACATTTTTGTTTTGGTGAGGCAGAGGAAATGCTTTACGCATACTCGCGATCCCCTGGGGGAGTCCGCGGGTTATATAGGACTCTCCCTCATCCAACCACACAGGAATGGGATCTATCCACTTAAACCCCTGCCGGGTGCCTCCTGGGCATATTTGAGGAGTCTGGGGGACTGCTGTTGGCATTACTTTCCCGACTGCTCGCCCTGGGGGCTTAGTCGGCCCCTCTTTCGTGCCGGGTTCCCCGCATTTATACGCGGGGGGACCCGGCTTCACGGGCAGCACTTTTCTTCGCTATCCGGGTTTTACTTCGTCTCCCTGTTAAGTGAGGGAGCAGGGGGCAGCCCGCTCCCCACGCCCCCCAGTTGAAGGGGCCGGGGGGTGATCCGTCCCCCAGAACGGATTCACCCCCACCGGTTTATTTCCCCTGTGTTGTTGAGTCCTCCGTCCTTAGAAGGGGTCCCAACTCCCTACGCGGCGATTCCGTGTTTAGAAGCCGCCGCGTGAGTTAACCCTCCTCCCGCTCCGGGTCCCCCGCCCTGAAAATGGCAGGGGGTTCCGGCTTCCCGGGCGATATCGCTACCGGGTTGACGTCCGGTTATCTCTTTGAGGGGCCGACAGAGGGGAGGGTTCGAGTGAACTCTAGGGGGGGAAGGTTATTCTTCCTCCCCATGATCGTCCGCGGCCCCATATATGTCCCGTCACTACCGCATTATCTCTTAACCACTTCACTGGTGGAGAAAATCAGCATCAACTGATAAAAAATGGCAAAATCAAAATGCTGTTTGATTTTTATAAAACTTAGTATTAAAGTACTTTTCAAATCGCTGAATACGAACTTTAGATAAAATTTTAGAATTTAATCACTTTGCTAGCATTGACGCACTTTTGCGTCAAATAAAGAATGTACCAAAAATGGTATTGACGCACTAATGTGCACATAATTTTATTTTTTTCCCGTTAGCAAGATTTTCATCAAACTCAGTATCCAAGAATTTTTGGAGTTGCTGATTTCGATTCTGAACCGTAAATTTGAAAATTTAAAGTAGCGGATTCAATATTAAATGTGGAAAGTGACTTGATTTTGATAAAATCTGGTACTCGGGACTTTTGGGGTCGCTGCTTTCGAATCTTAGCTAAGAATTTCGAAATTAAAGATGGCGGATCCAATATGGCGACCAAAATGCGAAACGTGACTTGATTTGAATGAAACTCGGTATTTAGCGGTTCTTAGGATCGCTGATTTTGAATCTGAAATTAGTTTTGTCAAATTCAAGGCTCCTATTTTTCTGCGTCCTAAATAATTTAAATTTTATATTATTTAAATTTGGTTATTGTTGTAATACAAAGCCACTTTGGAACGAGAATAACGATATTTGGCGGTTCACATCCTTGAATAAAACTAATGTTTGCATTTTCAAGTTGGTCAGTTAGTCAGTCTATCTTACAATTAAAGTTGACCAATTATACTGGCTAAAGTATGCGCGCTTTCGTATTATTATACGGAAATATCTATATTATCGGCTTTAATAATTTTTTACTCGAATTCTATTAACTTTACCGAAAAATAGCAAGAGATAAAAATTGTTTATTTTCTTTTTTGACAATTTTTTCAGAATTTTATGTGAACTTTTTAGTACTTCAAGAAAATGCAAAAAATGCAAAAAATGCAGTACTAAAAAGTTAATTAGAAAATTCTGAAAAAATTCTCAGAGCTTTATGAGTAGAAAATAGATAATTTTTATCTCTTCTTATTTTTCGGTAAAGTTGGTAGAATTCGAGTAAAAAATTATTGAAACGAATAGTTTTGTTAACAGTAAGAATTGAAGAGGCAAATAAGGAGTACAGCACGGATGTCTTAGCGCTATTAAATACTAATATTATTTTTTATATAATATTAATATGATAGTGGGAAGATAATTATATCCAGCATATCAAACGCACGTATCGAAATTTTTCTTCGATTAACGTACGCGGTGAATCTACCTTTCATACTTAGATCGATCCTTGAGTCCCAATTTTATATATATATATTATATATATATATATATATATATATATATATATATATATATATATATATATATTTAACATCCCCAAAACCCATTAAACCGATGACTTAAATAGATTCATTATATATGTTGCGAAAAAACTGCCTCCGCCAGGACTCGAACCTGGAACCTCCCCACTTTCCGGGCGGGACGCCTTTCCATTCGATCACCGAGGCTTCGACAGTAATCTCGCAACACAACGTTTATAAATTCTCTAAGGTGTAAGTTGAGAGAAAAAAGAAAGAGTCAATCTCGTAAGAGATATTATTATACGAGAGAGAGATAGCATATATTCTTCCGCCTAATGCTTAAGATAAACAGAAATTATAGAAAGCTCCTTTTTAGAATAACTAACAGTAAGAATTGAAGAGGCAAATAAGGAGTACAGCACGGATGTCTT